GAAGAGAAATGGATCAGTGGATTCAAAAATTGTTTCCGAGAAGGCGCCAGAGAGGGAGGAGACTAATCCTGAAAATGCACCAGAAAAGGCTATAGAAAAGGAAAAAAATAGTAGTACACCTCAAGATCAAAAGGTATCAAGAGATACAAGTGAAAAACACGAAAATGGTTCGGCCAATGATGGCGCAAGGAGGGAGGAAGGAGCCTATGGAAAGAAGGCCGATAGTGGAAAGGCTAGACTAGAGGATGCAAAATTGAAGAAGATTAAGAGAGTGATGGATGAACATGGTTCTGGTAATTCTATTTGCTCTTTTACTTGGACTGTACTTGACAAATTTGTTTAGGTCTTGGAAGAAAGGTGAGAATTAATGAGGCTGATCATAATGTACTGTGATGAACATTTGATGGTGGGGAACAATTATTTGTCAATTTATTGAATAAAAAGACTTGCAGAATTGAAGACCTGTAACACATAACCAAATTTGGCCCTCTTTGATTTGATAAATTATGGGTTTCAACAATTATATTAGTAGGCAACACCAAAATATGGGAATATCGAGCAATCCTATTAGCATTTAATTTATTGACCTAATTTACTATAGCCGCTAATTAATTGTGAATCTCATCAAACATTAAAACTTATTGTTAACCCAAGAATTAAATGAAACAACATTATTAGATCAGTAGATTAAATCAAAATTTTAAATCCTAATAACATTAATCTTTACATTTTTGCGATAAATAAATTAATTTTATTTTCAAAAAACTGATGTTTATAATGACCATCAAAATATAGCGAACTAAAAGAGTTTTCTCCCCTAAAATAGGTTTTTAAACCAGTAACCGGGTCTTTAACCAAAGGGAGTATTTAACCTTTATTACTATACTATATACTCGACATAAGTTTTTTTTTCATGCAACCGTGCAACTCAGCCGAACCTAGGTCCAATTTTTCCGAGTCCATGTCTCAACCACCAAGAATGATGTTTGATTTAAAAACAAGGACACACACCCACACTCAAATTAAATGCCCACAAATGTGATGTTTGATCCTCCTTGAGCCGATGAATTTTGTTATTGATGCTTGTTTGCTGATCTTATAATTGGTTACTGTTGTTCATGTTGTCTAGTTGATTAGATCCTTCCCTCCTCCTTTGCCTGGTTTTTTGTGCGATATTGATCACCATGCAACAATCATGCTTTCATTGTTGGATATTGTTGTTGGCTCTACTGGTTTTGTTGTTTGTTACTGTTATGCTACTACTTGGCTAGTGTAGGGAAATGTGAAGAGAAACGACTCGTCTTCAATCTTGCTTAGACCATCAATGGCTTTTGAAATGAGGTCTTTTGTAATTTTTTGAGAGTGTCACAAAAATCAGTCCTGATTGATGCTCAATCAACACAGCATTAAGCGGCCGTGATACTTATTTGTTGGCTACTTGTTGGTTTGATGCTAATGCATTTGTTGGTTGTTGCCTAGCTATTTTGCTTGGTTTATGCCGAAAGTGTTCTTGCCCTAGAGATGTCTTTACCTTGTGCATATTATGTAGCTTTTGTTGACTTAATGATTTCTGTCTGAGATGAGTGTTCTTCTATCTTTGTCTAAAAGACCTTCCATTTCTTACCCATTCTCTTTTCTTTTGGGTACAGTTATACCTTTTGTATGTATGTTTCGGCTAACAAATTAATCTTATAGAAAGAAAATTTGCATTTGAAAAATTTTCAATTAAGAGTCATGGAGTTGAGCCTTGTTCATGGTAAGGATTGGTTTCTTATGCTCCTCTTTGGTGGTTTTATTGTGCATTTCTTTTAGTTACCTCTCTATAATAATTATTTGTTTATTATAATAGTAATTCATCTATTTATATTAAAAAAAAACACAGTGTATATTTAAGTTGGTCAAACCACTTTCAAGTAGTTGACAAAGATTAGGAGACAAATATCTCTATCACCAAAAATAAGGAGGCAAATATCTCCGAACACCACTCAAGATGGAATAAGTGGCTCATGTACAATAAGTATTTTAATCACTCAATTATGTTTTAATCACAGTAAAAAAATAAGGGAGAATTACATTAGGAACTCCTGAAGTTTGTCACTTAATCATTCAGAACCCTTGATATTTAAAATATTATACACAGACCCCCTAAAGTTTGTACGCGCATAACACTTAGACCCCTGATGTAAATATATCATTTAATAAATTATACTTAGACCCTCCTAAAGTTTGTAAATATATAATACTTAGACCCTTTGAGTTTAAAATATTATACTTATACCAAAAATACTTCATTCAAGTATAGAATATCAAATATTTTAAATTTTACAACAAAAATTCATATTCTATTTTATCATTTATTGAAATAAAATTAAAAATAAAAATTTATTTTTTCTTTAAAAATTGTAATTATTGTACAATTATACTATTTATTGGAATAAAACTAAAAAATCAAACAATGAGTCAAATTGTAATGGACACAATATCTTTTAGCTTTAATTGGGGTAGTTTGGTATTTAATTTGATTGTTTAAACGACCAAATTAAATTCTAATAGACAATATAATTATAAACTAATTATGATTTTTTAAGAAAAAAATTGAATTTTTATTTTTTATTTTATTTCAATAAATGATACAATAGAACATAAATTTTAGTTGTAAAATTTAAAATATTTGATATTTTATCTTTGATTGAAATATTTTTTGTTTAAGTATAATATTTTAAACTTAAGGGATCTAAGTATTATATACTTACAAACTTTAGGAGGGTCTAAGTGTAATTTATTAAATAATATATTTACATTAGGTTCTAAGTGTTACACGCGCACAAATTTAGGGGGTCTGTGTGTAATATTTTAAATGTCGGGGGTCTGAGTGATTAAATGACAAACCTCAGGGGGTCCTAATGTAATTCTCCCAAAAATTAATGCATTACATGGTGCAATAATCTATATAATAAAGTAGCTTACAATTCAAATCTTAAAAAGATAAACCAAATGAATTTTGCTATTCACGGTTGAAATTGTTTTAAATTTTACTTTAAAATTAATTTAACGGCTATTATTAACACTTTAAATTTAATAGGAAAAATAGGCTTTTAATGATGTGTTTGCAGTGACTTTTTAAAAGTATTTTAAAAATTATTTTTTATAAATACTTTTTAAAAAAATAATATTTGAAACTGCCCTACTATAACCTCTACCACCACAACCACCGTCGCCGCCGCCATAACAACCACTGTCGCCACCCCCACCGCCACCACTACAGCCACCACCACCCCCTCGCCCCACTACCGCCATCACCACGCCGTCGCCACCACTACTGCCACCACCACCACCTACACCATCGCCGCCTCCACCCCCATTACTGTCGCTGTCGCCACCATGACCCCTACCGCCACCACCACCACCACCACCTTCACGACCCCCACCGTCACTACCACCACCACTACCGCCACCGCCACCACTATCACTACGATCATTGCCACCCACCACAACCATCATCGTCTCCTACCACCATTTCTGGCGCCCACCACTTCTCACCTCTACTACAGACTGATACTTAAATTCTTTTATCTCTTCTCTGTATTTGTGATTTAATTTTGAATATGAATACAAATATGTTTATTATTTACCATTTTTTATTATTATGTGTCTTCAGACACAGACAATAACTAGTTCATAAATATGGTATAAACCAAAGGCTTAACCATCAATATGAATCATATCTTATGATGCTAATAGCTATGATGATATGAATTATATAGGAAGGGTAACTAGTGCATGATCTTTCCACCATTGTGGGGTGTAGAAAGGGTCGTAAGTATGTAATCTTACACCCACATACAAAAAATAAATTTTCGTCACTCAAACAAGTTCTATTGTCTTAATATTAGAACTAAATTTTCATGCTTGGGCAAAAATAAACTCTTTTTTGAGTCATCTAGAAGGGAAAATATGCATTTTCTAAAAAGGCTTGTCTCTTTCTCATAATTTTTTTATAAGATTGCAATATGGATTTGTTATTTAGAACAATAGAGAAGACAAACTAGAACTTTATTCGATTTGATTACATATTCAAATATGACAACATCAATTCGGCGTACTTGTACCTATTTTGTGGGTGGCATTGAAGTTGCTTGAGCAAAGAGATTGTTGTGGCTTGGGAAAACATAAAACAAAAAAGAGGAGACACCAAGAAACACCATTTTTTTTTTTGGGTAAAATGCCAAAAGAAAAACTCCTGTACTTATGATCATTTGCAAGCGACCTCATTGTTGTTTAAACCGTTGCACTAAACCACCCTGAATTATGATTTTTTTTATTTGCAAAAATTGATGGATGTTAAAATTTTATAGGTGAGTATAACTCATGCGCTAAATACATGAGTAAGACATTATATCTCCCAAATTTATAACCTAAAATTTCCAAATTGCCCTTGTTTATCCTCTTTTCCTTCTTCGCTCTTTCTCTCATTCACCAGACACCCATCTCTCTCTCTCTCTCTCTCTCCCTCTCTCTCGATTTTGGGTGTTGGGCATATTGGGTTTCCTCTTCTTCTACCTATTGGTTTTGGGTTTTGGATATTAGGTATATTGGGTGGAGCAATGCTATATGGACTTCAAAAGTAAACTTAAAATGTGTCCTTGATAATCACAACCATTAATTTTACTGTGGGTCCTAGCATTTATTGGGATCCACTAACTATTTAATGGTTGTAATTATCAAGTACACTTTTTAAGTCCAAGTAGCATTTTCCTATTGGGTTTTCTCTGCTTCTTCCTCTTGGTTATGCGGATAAGTAATGTTACATGAACTTAAAAAGTAGACTTAATAATCACAACCATTGAATAGGTAGTGAGTCTCAATAAATGTTATGACCTGTAGTAAAATCAATTATTGTAATTATCAAATCTACTTTTTAAGTTTATGTCTCATTGCTCTTTTGGTATTGAGTATTGGGTATATTGGGTTTGTTTAGCTTCATTGTGTGTGTGTGTGTGCTCGACACAGAAAGAGAGATAGAATAGTGATTTGAGTGAGAGAAACAGAGTTTTTGTGGTAGTTTTAGAGAAAGAGGGAAAGAGCTTGGATGAGCAACTTGAGAGACACCTACACAGAGCATGGACCATGGAGACGAAAAGAAGCAACACGTCTCTGACTTTGCCACCACCGTGACCGCGGCCACCATCAGGCATAGACAAGAGTGGGAGAATGAACTACTTGCCTTCCTTAGTTTTCTTAGTCATTTTGTTCTTTTCCTTCATTTTTTTGGTTGATTTATTCAACTAATTATGATATTTGTACTTTGCTACTGCCATTATTGAAAAAAGAGCAATTTGTGAT